CATTTGATGCCTCATTCCTCATTCCAATCCTTTGTACTAAAAGACAAAACCATTTTCATAATTAATGGTTTATACCCAAATCCAACATTAATTCCGATTATAAATGATAAGTTGCAAGAAAGATAAAATGTTGAAACATGGGGGTAGGTGGTATCTATGTGTCATGTGATTATAATAAAAGAAATTAAGAATAGTCAAAACTTACATGATTTTGATCCAATCCAGGATTGTTTCTTCATCAAGCCACATGCTGACGCATCTCTTGTATTCTGTCTCTTATATATATTTTCCTGTTTCACAGTTTAACAACTCAACTTAAACACTTACTATTATATATTATTTAATTTTACACAATAACTCTTCATGGATCATCATAAAAAGCCACCTCATCGTGCCTAAATTTCATTTTCTTTTAAATTCTCACGGAAACTTCTAACAAAATCATTTAATTCATGGTAAAAACACTTTATACTAACGGTGTGTTTGGTTAGGGGTCTGAGAAAATTACTCTTATAATCTATCTTTTATTACAAGTATTATGTTTTGCTTGTCAAGTAATAAGAAATTATGATAATCTTTCATTACCAGTGGTTGTTACTGTTGGTAATATAAAGGATAATCATATTACTTTCTCAACAATTGTTTTTAAAATTTACGGGGTAATCTACTATTCATACCAATTTTACCTTTAATTAAAAAACACTTCGAACACAAATGTCCTCATATATCTACCAAATAATAATTAGCCCTTTTATGCAAATGACTTCTATAACCTAATAAATTAATTTTTTGGACATAAATGCCTTAACTATTTATATGAATACCAGCCAAAATTATTTAGTCACTAAAGACGACTGATGGCCGCCAGCTATCACCAACAATCTCCGAAACGACACATGACCGGTTGGATCTCGCCAGCCATGCATCGATATGGCTGTTAATGGTCAAATCTATTATGGTAGTTTCTGATCGGATCCATGGTCATTAACAACCAGAATAAATCTGTACGTTTTCGGTCAGATCCACGACCATTAGCGACCACATATCTGGTCGTTAACGGCTTTGGATTTAGTCAAAAAATGGTCAAATCCACGATCATTTGGCTGTTTTCGGCCTTCGATTTGACCGACAATATCCATATCAACGCTCGACCAACCAGATTCGGCTGTTCTAGCGACAACCAATGGTCGACAATCATCTGTAGTAGCTAGGAATATTTTGTTTAATTTAAAATTTTATTGTTAGAGTGTTTTAGCTAAATTCTCAAATGTAGGGGGTTAAAAGTAATCTATCTAAATAATAATAATAATATTATTATTATTATGGGCAATCCTAAAAAAAGGTCTGCCCATTATATTTTATTCATCCTAACTAAATATTTTAATTATTTATACCCACCAATTTAACTAAACATATTGATATAATACTCCCCCATAATCTTCAAGATAATCTATCTCACCAGTAATCTTACATTTTCAGTAATAAAATATTTCCCGAACCAAACGCACCCTAAAATATTTTATGATAAAGTATATATTGATTGCTAAATATTCTATAAAATCAATAATTTATTTTCTCTTTTCTTAATAAAAGTTTACAATGTAAATATTATAAGGGGTTTGGATTTATGTAGTTAAATTAGTAATATTAATTTCTTAAAATGTGGAGGTTGTATTTAAATGATAAATTTGGCTTTAAAATCAATTGATTTACCTATTATATCATTAATAAAACAACAAAATGTATATTCTCTAATATGTAATATAAAATCATATTACACTCGATACCTAGCATCTAACAATGTAATTTAATAAACTGATTAAAGTATGTTAAATCACTCTGAGCTATGCTAAACTTACTTGTTTAATACATTCTAACTATTTGTTTCAATAAAGACAATTAAGTTAACTCAAGTGGGTTTTTTTGTTTTAAAGCAAAATCTTAGGCTCCGTTTGTTTTGTTATTCCTATCCATATTCCAAAATACTTGTTTGTTTTATTATTTGAGAAATACAATTCTATTTTTTAATTACTTTTAAACCCCTTAAGTTTATTAATTTAATAAAACACCCCTTGTAAAAAAGTTTAAAAATTAACAAAAACACCCCCACCCACCCATAGCTGCCAAATTGTCGGAATCTCACAACAACGTAGAAATGATTGGAAATGGTCGGTAATTCACCGATATGACATTTTCTGGTCAAATCTACACTGGATCCGGCCGAAAAAGGCCAAATCTAACCGTCACTGACAGCAAAGAAATGGCCATCGTTGACCGGAAACGATAGCCAAATTTGGCCTTTTGCGGCCATCGAAGGCTAGATTTGACCGTAGATCTGACCTTTTTCGACCAGATCAGTGTTGGATCTGGCCGGAAAAGATCATATCGACGCACGACCGGCCAGATCCGACCAGTCTATATTGTAAAGCCATTTTTCAGCCAGATTTCGGTGGTGGTGGTAGCCAGAATCTGGCACTGTGGATGGGTGGGAGTGTTTTTATCATTTTACAAATTTTTTATAAATTGGGGTGTTTAGTTAAATTAGCAAATCTAAGGGGTTTTTTTGTGAATTTTTAAATCTTGCCTCATAATATTTACCCTACTCAACTACCGAATATTATTCCCAAAATCCTATCTAAAATAATAAAACAAACGGACCCTTAATATTTTAGGAATCAAAATTAGTGATATATACACCAAACATTTTAACAATTTCAAAATTAAAAACGACGTGTCGATACGCATGGGGAGGGTCAAACTCATGGAGGGGTGGTCTACTGGTCCTTATACATTACTGATATTTAAAAAAAAAAAAAGAAAAAAAAAAAAAGGTATTTCCACTCAAATTAGGTTTCCATAGAGGGAATATTTTCGGTATAATGGAACCCGCGTGATAGCCTAATCAATTGTTGTGATGTAGACAATCTTTCTAATAATAAAATAAATTATTGATTTTTGTGTAAGGGTTTCATCTCTAGCATCATTACTTATTTGCGTACCAAAATCCTTCAGATTTTTGCCAATTTTTGTTTCTTTCCGTTTTTAAAATAAATAAACTACACCTCAATGTTTACAAACACCAAAAGCATCTTCTTCAATCATTGCTTCATTTCAACCACAAAAAAGAAAAGGAATATATAATCAATTTGCTTCATATATGGTGGTACACCACTTACACACCAGCCGTGAGCGAAATTATATTTTCGGTATCATTGCGACAATTTGGTAAGATTTAATAGCGTTACATTGCAACGAAACAAAAGTTTTGATTAAAACTTTTTTAACTTTACATAACAAAATGACGTATCGTTTAACCAAACTGCACCGTTGAATAAATAACTGGTTGATGATGATTACATTAATGTCTATGTTATCTAATTGCCAACATGTTGTTGGCAACAACAAATAAGCTAGTTTTCATTCTTTCTTTTTATTATTATTTCTAATACTTTTATTATTTTATTAATTTGAATTAAAAAAAAAAAAAATTCTAAAGCTTAAGTTTGTTTAAGTGTATTTTTGTAATTCACTCTTGTAAAAACAATATTTGATATTCGAAATTTTAAAAAACCTATTTTTGGAATCCTTTTATAAAATAGATTATTTAATAAACAACTTCTTATATATTCATTTTTTTTAATTAGTTTATCGAACGATTTTTAAATTAGAATTTTAAAAGTAAGCTATTATAATCGTAAAGGTGTAAATTGGTTTAATAAGAGATTGAAATTTGTGGCCATTCTCTCGTTGTTTTTGAGACAAGTGGCCAGAAAGTTGATAATTTCTCTAATATAAAATTAACAAAATCTATTTATCAATCAGACAATAAGTTAGAGAGGATCAAAACTACCTTTTATTTTATCCTTTCTAGATTCCAGTAAATTGTAAATAACATAAAAAAGTAGGCAAGAAGTATTTTGGAATCTCTCTAATTTTCCTATCAACCAAACATCTTATAATTCATTATGAACGTTGACAGCAAACTTAACACATGTAAGTCAACAAAAAGTGGTTTGATCTTCGAAGATTTTAAAGTATATCTAAAGCCTAATGAATTAGGAGTACAATTTCAACTTATTTCTCTATCAACCTATAGGCAAATAATTGAGAAAAGAAATTGGAGAACCTAAAAATAATGAAAAATTCTGGATAAGAGAATATCCCACAACCCACATCAGAAATACTTCAAGGATAGGCTTTCATGGAAGTAAAAATTGTTTATTTGATTAAATTAAGACGTCCAAAACAAAATTGAAATCCAATTGACTCTACAAGCCAATGAGAGAACGGAAAGGCAGATATAAATAAATAAATAAAAAATAAAATCCCTTGACAAATGGCTTAAATTCTGCGGACACATATCCAATTTAATTAAAATTAATGTTCTTTTCATTGAGTTAATAATCAATTAATATTCCTCACAACATGAACATGAAAATGATGATCCTTTACTTGAAATGAAAAAGATAGGTACTGCATAAAACATCATTCTATTAAAATTAATGAAGACTTCAACAAATCAACTATTTAATCATAGAGTTGCATCAATTATTGATGTTAAACAAAGAATCAAATACATACCAGTTTTATTTTGGATTTGTTTAAGAGTTTGGACTTCTTGACTGTCGTCTTGTTCTTGGATAGAGAGAAATGGGAGATAAATTAGGAAGCCTAGCAGATGAAAGAATTAAAGACGGGCAAAATATTGCTATATTTTGTTGGCTACATTTTAATAGATTGTATTGCTACTAAATGGTTATTTAGATGTTATAAATTTAGAAAAATGGATGTAATTTTTATTAATAGACTATTACTAATTATAATTAATTTCCCATATTTTAAGGTTTAATTCATGGAGTGGTGTTATTTAAGCAATTAAACTTTTTTTAAGCCCCAAAATAGACTTTTTTTTTTTTTTTTAATTAATGAATAGAGTTTAGGAAGAATTAATATTATGCGGATCCAAGGTTGCTCAACAGAAGGGCCCGGCCTAGTTCTCTTTGGATTCAATAGCAAGATACCCAAACTGAAAGTCCACAGAGTGGAAACCAGGAATAGCTAGCAAACAAAAGCAATGATACATAGCGGTATCTGGAGGCTTACAGGAACCCAGAAAGAACCAAGATTCAAATTACAAAGTCAACAACGAAAAAACAAAACGAAGCTAATTAAAGATATTATATGGTTTTCTTCCTACAACTTTGATCACATTTTGCCATAGCGGTCTTCTTTCCGCTCTATGCGTATGGTGCCTTCACCATCTATGCGTCCAACATCATTAAAAGTTTGCCCCGTCATCTGATCCGCCGTTTTCAATGTTTCCGCAATGGCTCCGGGACGTGTCTCTTCAATGTTGATCTCAACTCTCTCAACTGGCACAGTTCTTCCTGTGCTCCCAGCCCTTGTCTCTTCCACTACGTCAGTTGGCTGAGTGAGCTTGCTCTTTATGGCGTCCGTCATGGAGCTGAAGATGTTTCCCCTTGATTCCCTGATAAAAACAATACGGGTGAGAAAATATTGTTTGCGTAAAATTGAAATGAAACCACACAACTGCTAATTCACAAGAACATGTGTGCATTTATATACCTTTCAACTTCATGGTCACGGGCCTTTTGGTCAGCTCCATAGTTGTAATCTTCACCTTTCAGCTTCAATTCTTCCATTTGCTGCCTAGCTGCCTCTTCCGATTCACTCAACTTCTCCTGCATTATATTTTCAACAAAAATAAAAAATCAACGCTGAATTAAACAAAATGGAAGTAACTATATATAGTACTCGATTATAACTTCAACTTTATCTACCTTTGTTGCCTCTTTGGTCTCCTGAGCCTTCTGTTCAGCCGACTCTTTGGTCTCCTGAGCCTTCTGCTTAGCCTTTTCAGCCTTCTGTTTAGCAGACTCTTTAGTCTCTTGAGCCCTTTGCTTAGCTGACTCTTTAGTCTCGACAGCCTTTTGCTTAGCTGATTCTGCAGTCTCTTCAACCTCCTGTTTAGTTTCCTCTTTTTTACCAGTCAAGTAATCCATTGCTTTCTTGGCAGCACCAGCAGCAGAATCCTTGAACTCACCCAGCTTACCCACAGTAGTATCCTTCCCTTCTTTTGCTTTCTCAGCAGTATAATGCTCGCACTCCTCAGCCTTTTGCATTGTAGTGTCCTTGGCCTCCTTCGACTTCTCCACTGCATAATCTTTATACTCTCCAGCCTTCCCCAACGTCTTGTCCTTAGCCTCCTTCGCCTTTTCCGCAGTAAAGTCTTTATATTCCCCGGCTTTCCCTAACGTCGTGTCCTTAGCTTCTTTTGCCTTCTCTGCGGTATAATCTTTAACTTCTTTCGCCTTTTGTGCTGTATAATCTTTATACTCTCCAGCCTTCCCCATAGTTTTATCCTTAGCTTCTTTTGCCTTCTCTGCAGTATAATCTGTATACTCTTCCGCCTTTTCCATTGTCTTGTCTTTCGTTTCCTTGGCTTTCTGTGCAGCATAATTTGTGGTCTCCTTTGCCTTATCTGCATACTCTCCCACCTTTCCTTTAGCCTTCTCTGCCGCATAATCTTCATATTCCTCCACCTTCTGTCCGGCCTTGTTGGTTGTCTTCCTCCCCTTCTCCGTGGTGTAGTCCTTATACTCTTTCGCTTTCTCCGCCGCCGTTTGACCTCCCTCCTTGGTTGTCTCCGCAGCCTCATAGCTCTTCCCAACAACGGCGTCTTTGGCATGCCCGATTGTGCCCGTCACAGCCCTCAAAACCGACCCAATCACCCCTGGTCTCTCTTGTTGCTGCTGCGGTTGATCCGTCGTGGTATCAACCATATAAACTCCCTCTTCATATTCTCTTCCTCGGTTCACGTCTCTCAGGTCAGCCGCAGCAATTCTCACTGCCGCCTCGGCTCTCTCTTCCCTTTGTTGCCTTGTCGCCATTGCTCTTCACTTGTAAATCACAAAGACACACCAGAATTACCTAAAACAACTTTTTTTTTCTCAGAATTTCTTTGTTTTCTTAATGTTCTTGATGGTGCAATGCAGTGAATTATAGAATATATAATGTGCACTCAGATAATATACACGAAGCTTACTTCTTGTGAATATGACACGCAGAGAAGAGATACTTGAGGAGCGGTTGCCACGTTTGAGACGGTGAGATGTGAAGGACAAGTGGCGAGCATGAAGAAGGAAGGTGACACGTAGATTTAACATGGAAGCCTGGGAAGTGAAGTAAAGCGGTGGATGGATGGTAGATTACATGTCCTTGACTAGAGAAGTTTAATGGGAACTTTTGAGCTGTGGTTAACTTACACGTGTCATACCACGTGGCTAGATAACACACGTTACCTAGGTTACAGTGAACTGGATAATTTTTTGTTCTGTTTATCTTGATCACATGAAGATTTGCAGTATAGTTTAGAACTTTAGATAAGATACTTACCAATTACTTCAACAATTAATAAATTGAATCAATTGATTAATTAATACTGTATATTCACTATATAAAATAATTAAGACTCAAATCATTTTTCATGTATGTGTTATCATATGCCTAATAAAAAGTCCCATTATTCTTTTTTTCATTTTTATTTTGGTTTCCATGCATTTATTTTATAATACTTTTCATCCCATCAAAATTTCTCCTTTTAACTATATGTATTACAACATGTTTTGAGTATAAAAAGTTCTATAAATTTTAATATTTCTATAGTAACTTTATGTTATTATTTAAATTGATTGTATGTTATTAATATTATTATCCTTCTAATTATACTCTATGGTCGCCACTAAAATAAATCTTTCATATTCAAAAATAAGTTTGGTATAATATCATATTATTTTCTTATATATAGCATGGTTATTGGTTAGTATATTGTCATATTATTTTTGTTATAGATAGTTAGGTTAATAGCAAGAAAAAAAAAAAAAAAAAAAAAAAAAAAAAAAAAAAAAAAAAATCTTTCTTAGTATAATTAAATGCCCTATGTGATTCGCATTAACCCTCTTAAGGGCCGTTTGGGTCGAGGGTAAATAAGATAATGGGGATAATCTTCGTTTATTTTGTAAGATTCATGTGTTTGATTTACAAGTAATAAAATATTATGATAATCTTTTATTGTAAATAGTGTTTACTGTTGATAATGTGGGAGGTAATCTTATTACCTTGTTAGAGGGTGTTATTAAAATATTACCGGGGTAATATGATTTTTCTACTCATTTTGCCCTTAATTAAAAACCATTTCGGACACAATTGCCCTCAAATGTCTACCACATAACAATTACCTAGCTCCCATACATTTGAAAAATTAGTTATAACACCCTAGCTATAAAAAAGTTTAAAAATTAACAAAATACCCCCAACCACCTAAGACCACCGCTGGCCGTGACTCACCACCGTCGACCGTCGGTGTCAGTAGTCGTAATGGTGCACAACCGGCCGGATCTGACCAGTCATATGTTGTTAAGGCCTTTTTCGGCCATGGATCTGGGATCCATGACTAGATATGACCAGATCTGGCGTTTCTATGGCCATTTCACGGCCAAAGATGTGGCTGTGAAATGGCCATAGATCTAACCGTTTTCTAACCATGGATTTGTGATCAATGGTCATTTTTGGCTTACCGATGCACGCCCGACCACATACAGCCAATCGTGCACCATTCAATTGACTACCGACGACAACCGGAGGTGGTGGCTGGCTGTCGACAGTGGCTTAGGGTGGGTAAGGGTGATTTTGCTACAAATTAAAGTTTTATATAGTTGGGGTGTTTTAGAAAAATTTTAAATGTAGGGGTTTAAAGAAATGATTCAAAAAATAATAATAAAAAATTCCATCAAATTAATATTTAAAAAGGTGGGCAATTTAGTGATCTACATAACATACCCACCTATTTATCCTGCCAACCAAACATATTATTCACTAATTTATTCGAACCAACCAAACGCATTTTCTAAACATTTACAGTAATCTTTAAGGTGATCTTTTTTTCCATTAATATAATATACCTCTATAATAAAACATTATATGATCCAAACGCCCCCTTACAGTTAAATTTTTTTACGTTTTTGTGTTAAAATAACTTGTGTAGCATCATCTAAAAATCGAAAATGACAATCTTACAATTTAAAATAGAAAGTTAATAATATTTAATCATATAGTTTTTGTCTTAAAAATCATCGCTTATAAGTAGAGATGAGCGTTTGACCCGCTTAGGCAGATCCCCACCCCACCCCGAATGGGTCGGGAAATCCCCGAAAGAGTTGGGGATTAAGATGGGGCCGGGCACAAAATAATTCCTCAGTCTCGGGGATGGAGTTGGGCTTCACCTCGCCCCAACCAACAAGGACCTTTGGGGACCTACCCCGATCCACCTCGCCTTGCCTATATATATATTTCATAAAAAAAAAAAAAAAAATAACATTATTTCATTTAAAAAAATTTAATATAAGATATTTTCTTTGCAATCTTATTGATATTCAATAAATCTTGTTAATCTTATATAAATTTGAATAGTTGAAAATTAATCAATGAATTATACTAAACAAATTAATTAGAAGAAGAAAGAGGAACTTTATGTGTATTATAATGATGGAGAGACACAATAAATTTTATCACATAAGTTTAAAAACTAATTTTAGACAATAATATTTGATTATTTTCTAAATTCTAATATCTGATTTTACTACATATCTAACAAGTTTTAATGTTATATTTAACAAGTCTTACTACATATTATAATTGATCATGGATTATATCTAACAAGTCTTACTACATATCATAATTAATTTGTGACGTTTCATTTAAACAATATTTGTAACTAATTTGTCCAATAATTTTGCTTGAAATTCTCCTATTCATTTTCTTTTCTAACAAAAATCACATTTGTCAAGAAATTACCACTTTAATAATTATTATTTTTTCACTATTAATTGATGAAATGTGATTATAATTGTGGTAACATTGAGTTAAATCATATAAAATTATACAAATGGGTAATAATAGATGTTTTTGTATTCAAATAAAAACCCTTGTACTTCTAAAAATTAGATACAAATGTTAATGTTCTTTAAAAAAAAATAAAAAATAAAAAGTCTAAGGCTCCTAAAGCCCAAACCTAGCCCATAGTCAATAATCCTAAAGCCCAAACCCAACCCACAACCAAGAATCCTAAAACCTATCATAAACGTTGACCTTGTTGACCCAGCAAAGACTCCATTGACTGGGGTGGGTCGAGGGTCAACCCAATCCCCACGGGCCAGGCCCGAGATCCCCCTTCATCCCTGGCCCACGGGACGAGCCAGGCTCGAGGAATCCCCTGGGGTCAAGGCCGAGGAATAGGATTCTTGGCCTTGCCCTTGGCTGGCACCCATCCCTACTTGTAAGTTGTTTTTTTGAGATAGATGAAACGGAAGATAATGCATATATAATAGAATATTATCAATTAGAGGTTAACAACTTTTAAAACAAATAAGAAAAGATCTCAAATTCTAAAATGGGCAAATGGCAGAAACTACATGGTATTACGAAAGATTTATGATGAAAAAAATAAATATGTTACCATTTATTTGTGCTAATTGATATGCATGTTTAGTGTTTTATTTTTATTTTTTATTTTAGTGTCATGGAATTTGAAGTTGATTGGAATAAAAATACTGAATATAAAAATTAGAGAGAAAATAGAAAATCTAGATAAAGCAAATTCAATTTTACTGTTAAAGTTGATTGGAATACAGATACTAAGGTGGCATTTGTTTTGTTTCTTATCTGAAAACTGAAAAAAAAAAAAAAAAAAACAAAACAAAAAAAAACAAAAAAAAACAAAAAAAAAACAAAAAAAAAAAAACAAAAACTGAATTGGTTTGTAAATTAAAGAGATGTGAATGACTGAATATTAGACTTGGCAAAACGGGTCCAAACCCACAAGTTGGCCATAAACCTGGGAAAAATATATAGGGTATGGGTCCATGACATTGGACCCCTTTTTTTCGGACCCATACTCGGCCCTACTCGTTTTTCTAGCGGGTTATGTGGGTCACCTGTAGGTACCTTTTTTTTTAAAAAAAAAAAGAAAAAAAAAAAAACCCTTTTCATTTTTGGGCAAATTGAAATCGCCACTTCCCACCCTAGACCCAATTTCCATTTCCAAATCCCTAACTCCTTTCTTGGCCATCTTCTTCTCTAACGCAACTCCTCTCTCAAAATCAATCCCGCAAACGTAGGTCAACTGTCGCCAGTTTCCATCATCGTCGTCAATTCAAACTCACACTCAATCACTTTCATTAGTCTCCACTGTTGCCACATCTCCAATCGCCGCATTTCCAAACTCCAATCTCCATGTTGCCGCAACTCCATGTCGCTCATCCAAGGTATGTGTATCCCTATTCCTAAATCCTAACTCACTCACTCTCGTCTCTCACTCTCACACTTATCCACTGACCACTATCGTCCTTTACTCCTCTGTTTAGCAGTCAACCATTCACTTACTCTATCACACTCACTCATTGTCGTCTATGTTTTCATGATAAGAGCTTCACGAAGATTGTCCAAAGAGTGAAAACCCCTCTTGCTTCTGTTTTGCCCCTCTAAGTGAAGGTTGCCAGTATGTTTAATTTGCAGTGTTGTGGAAACTGATAGGGACTTTCATATATATTATTTTTTGACTTCGGATTTTGGAAGGATGACCTTTTGCTTTTTGGAAATGAAAACAAAAATGTTTGTTTCCGAGGATTGGTGTAGTTTGGTGTTTGTTTGGTGCAGTTTGGTGTAGTTTAGAGTTTGTTTTATTTGTTTTATTTGTTTATGTGAATTGAATTGAATTTAAAGTAGTTGATTATAGGGGTGTAATTGTAAAAAATTAAAACTACAAGAATTTTAGGGGTGTAATTACAAAAATTAAAAATTGGAGAGAGAAAAAATGGGTACCATGGGTCTACCCGTACCCATATAAGGTAGGGTCTAAGTCCAATATTTTAGACCCATATAACTCGACTCATTTTGGGCCCATACCCG